GGTGGGGAGCGGTTGGAGAAGGCTCTTGGCCAGGGTGAAGAGAGCTTGAGGGCTCGGTCGGGATGCTGTGATCGCACGCGGTAACCTCCTGGCAGATCAAGAAACTGTACAAAGTGCCGGACTTCCCCTCAAAACGCCTGCCCAACTGGAGGACCAGAGGATTGGAGCAGCGGCGGCAGGCCTTGGAGGCCTATATCCAGGTGTGCATGGGTCTCACTCTGTTGCCCCCCAGCCTGCTAGGACCAGAGGTGTGACCCAGAGAGGTGTGGGGGCACGGGGTGATGGGGACCCACATCGTGGGCATGTTATTACCCCAAGTCTCAATTTTCTGAACAGTAAATGTCCAAACAGTAAGTGTCCAAACATCCCTCTCTGGATTGATAGGATTGACTAAGGCAACCAGCAGGCAGGTGGTCCCAGGTCAGTGAAAGCTAGTTCCCTTTTCCAGGGTGGGATCCTGTGCTGCCCTCATGATGAGGATCAGGGTGGAGACCCCTTCCCCTGCTGCGAACACGGTTTTGCTGAGTCACATGGGCATACAACCTGTGTAGTCACCCAGGTCCCAGTGCTCAGGAGGGCTCAGAGCTTGGTTTCATGCTCTGCTCTGGCTGTCTTGAAATTCTTAATCATTTTGGAAGGGCCCCGGCATTTCCATTTTGCGCGGGGCTGTGCATATTACATGGCTGGGTCTGACTACAGGTTTCCTCTGTCCTCCTCTCCAGGGTGTTCTGTACCTGAACCAGGATGTGCCCAAGGAGCTACTGGAATTCCTGAGTCTTCGGCACTTCCCCACAGACCCCAAGGCCAGCAGCTGGAGGTGAGCACCTCTAGGGACCAGGGCTTGGCATGTTGGGAGGGGCCCTAGGGCTCGGGGACAGGGGCTCTCTTTTCCTTCTCACACCTCTCAGGCCCTAGCCCATTCTTCCTCTTTGAGACATGACCTCCCTGGCGGGCTTTCTTGACCTCGGTGGAGGGGCTGTTTTCTGGACAGCCTTGGTTACCCCAGCCGCCACCGGAACTGAGCTTGTTACAAATAGCAGCAGTGGTCCCCTGGGAGGTGAGGTTCTGGGTTCTCTGTCTCCACCTCTTCCTCACGCTGCCCTCAGGCATCCCCAGGCTGCTCACAGCCTCTTTTCAGCACCCTGGGGGAGTTGCCGCCTGGGGACAGCAGGCAAGTCAAAGGCTCTGTCTGCACCTGGCCCCTGCTGCCCCCTTGTGGCCGTAGGCCAGGAGGCGGGCCTGCTGCCTCCCGGCTGTCCTCCTGAGCCCACTTCCCACTCCTTTTCCTCTGTGGGTCCTTGGTGATCTCAATCCCCCACCTCCCCCTCCATTCTTCATGACCCTTTTCCCTCCTAGCTCACAGCTGCACCACCGGCCTGTCATCAGCTTCTGCGTGGATCCCTACATTTCCATCCCATCCCCAGGTGAGGGGGTGCCTCTGACCTATAATCCATATTTAGGGCCTGGGTATCAGGGTAGGAGTGGGGGGGGGGGTCACGTTGCCATTTCTCAGCTCCCAGGATCCCCAGGTGGTATCTCCCTCCTACTGCCCTCCTTTGGGGCCACACCTGCCCCGCTGCTCCTGTGCCCCTGTAGCCTGCTGGCATTCTCCTCCAGGGAGCAGACACTGGTGAAAGAAGCTTGGCTCCCCTGGTCTCCATTCCTTACCAGCCAGGCTTTCCAAGCTAAGGTGAACAGAATGTGAGCTGGGAGTGCCAAGGCCTCATTTGGGGTGGCCAGCTGTTACTGCTGCCTTGGAAGGGGCTCCTACTCTCAGGACGGGTGCTGAACCTATGGGCAGGAGCTCAGGATGCTGCAGGCCAGGGCCATTCCACGCCTCCTCTTCAAGCCCTGCAGCCTGCACCCCTTCCTCCTGTTTTCCTTCTGTCCACAGAGCCCCTGCCCGATGTGGTGGTGAATGGTGTGCTCCAGGGCCTCTACGGCTTTAGCACTAGCCCAGCTAGAGCCCAGCCAGAGGTTCCGTGTCACCCTGCTCCTCCGCCAATGCCCTGACCAGCCCAGAGGCCTTTGGGCCACTGCCAGGACAGTCACGTGCCTCAGTCCTATGTGCCCCATATAAGGGACATGGGCCAGGGCCCCCTTGGCCTGGACCCAAGACTTACTCACCCCAGGCTCAGAACTCGGCTGCACTGGTGCACTTAGAGCCCCCGGCCAGGGCAGGGACAACAGAGGGTAAGGAATAAAGGGAGAAGTCACTTTGGCAGTAGGCTATGAAAAGGTACAGGTGTATTTCTCCACCTACACCAGAAGGAGGGGGTGGGGGGAGAGCAAGGGTGGAGGCACAGTAGCTGGCAGAGTTTAGGAGCAAAAGCCCCTGCTTGATGTTTTGTATGTAGCATCTGGGGAATGGGTTCAGGCCAGAGTCCACAGAGGGGACAGCACCCGCTGCCACAGGTCCCAGGCACACCGGGACACAGACTGAGGGGGAGGTGCTGCAGGCCCAAGAACCGAGCCCACACACAGGTTATAAAAAACCCACCTTTTCTTTTTATTGGTCAGTGTTGGTAGGAGTTTGTTACAAAACTGGGCCCTGTGGAATGTGAGGGGAGGAGTCCACTCCGTCAGATGCCACCACTGGGGCCAGTGGGAGCGCAGAGCCCTGTGGCAGGCTGTCTTCACCCCTTGGGGGGCAACACGGCTGCACAGATGGTTGCTCAAAGGGAGGAAGTCCCCAGGCCCTACTCCTTGGCGATGGCAAAGGGCTTCTCCACCTCGATCTTGCCACAGTCTGCAATTGTCACATCCTTCAGGGGCTTGTCGCGCCCATCTGTCTTGGTGGTCTCCACCTTCCGCACTACCTCCTGGGAAGGAAAGGCAGAAGCAGGAAGGCAGAGTGGGTCAGGAGGCAGCCACTCAAGAGAGGCAGGCCCCAGTGTATGGCTGGGGAGGGCTGAGACCCCCATGTGACAAGCAGCATACAAGCCTTGAGGCACCAAAATCCTAACGGAATCATGGCCAGGGGCCAGCCCAGGGAAGGAAGAACCCAGCTCTGACAAGAGGATGGAGCAGTCTTGACCCTTTGAAGTATGACCCAGGTTGGGCTATGGGTGAGAGGGAGGAAGGGGGTGGCTGGGGAAGGGGTACCAAATGGCTTCTCAGGGACATCGTGTTCAGCTGTGCCCTGTACAACTTAGGGTGGTGCCGCATGTCACTGAGTCAGTGATGGACGGAGCCACAATAAGCCCTGGCCAGCTTCTGCCTGGGCCTGAAAGGATTTAGAACTTGTGGGCATAGAGAGGTAGGCTATTTATTCTCCATTCCCCCAGGTCTGTAAAGATGAACAATGGTCTGAATCTGTGGGTTTTCCTTTTGGAAGGGGATAAAATATATGGAGCTCCTGCCCCAGGGTCTGTGTCAGATCCTTGGTGAGGGGCACCCAGGTTTAGCCCCTTCCTCCGAACTCACCATGCCCTCTAGAACTTTGCCGAACACTACGTGCTTGCCATCTAGCCAGGCTGTCTTCACGGTCGTGATAAAGAACTGGGAGCCGTTGGTGTCTTTGCCTGCGTTGGCCATGCTCACCCAGCCGGGCCCATAGTGTTTCAGCTTGAAGTTCTCGTCTGGGAAGCGTTCACCGTAGATGCTCTTACCTGGGAAGAAAGAGTGGGTCAGGGGAGCTGGGCTGGCACAAACCGAGCAGATCTTTGGGGTGAGGATTCCAGGGGCTCAACCTGTCCGTCCTCTGTGCCAGGCCAGGCTCAAGTGGAGTACAAGAACATAAAAGCTGTCCCCTTCTGACCCTCTGGCCTTGGAGCCAAACCATGCTGACCAAGTGTGGCAGCATGAGGCCAAGCTGATCTAATGAGAAGCTCACACAATGGATTTCTTTCAGAATATAGTTTTACGGCTTTTAAATAAGGCACATATTAACAGCTACCCTTGGCTATTATGGCCTGAGAGGCCTGCCATGGGGGAACTCTGGTGAAGAGGTGCTGTGCAGGATGCAGGGGGCAGGGGCGCTAAGAACGCTCCAGAAAAGGAGAACTGCTGTGGCTGACCAGCTTTTCTTACGAGCACAAAAGACGCTGAGGTGTCTGCAACACAGAAAGCCGAGAGATGAGTGGGCGGGGCAGGGAGAAGCAAGAGAGGGGCTGCCATTTGGGTTCTGGCAAGTCAGGAGCCTCTTATGAACAAATGAACAGAAAATAAAAGGTGGCTGTGACCGTCTGTGATGTGTCTGTCCCTGAGCGCTGGGGCGCGTGACAAAGGGGGCCGAAAGCAGACCTCGACGCCACTTCAGAGAGCCTAACCTAAGTTCCCAGCGCTGTTCCAGGAGAAACAGCACACCCTTCTTTTTCCCTGCCCCCTCGGGGATTCACACTGCGCTAGTGAACTAGGGGCCCCGAGAAACCCAGCAAGAAAGAAGCAATTTTCATTTTGTTTTACCCAGCACCTTTCAAACTTACTTGCACATGAAACCCTTTTTTCCTCCTTGATAGAACTGTTTTCATCCTGTGGTTCCACAGAATGGAACCAGGTTGGGATACTGTCCTAGACTGATGCTAATCAGGGAGAAATTTCTGGTTGTGTAGCAAGTGGGGAGACGGAAAACCAAGAATTACTGGACTCTGGCTGGTGGGGGCTGGGGTGTGTCAGCCTGTGCTCCCCGTCTCACTCCTACCCCAGGGAAAAACCGGACTCTCCCAGCATCGTGCAGTGACTCCTGGCTGGGGTGCTGGCTAAACGCCTCCCCTGTGTGAGAATCCTCGTTGTGAATCTCAACCAACTGCAGGGTTTCAGTTATTGCCGCTAACCAGAAAAATCCCCAAATCTACATCCTTAGCTCCAATCACTTTCCCAAGACAAAGGAGTTCCAAACTTGAACAGACAGTTCATTTTAAACTCAGCAGAGTAAGTCATCTTTCCCTCCAGACTTCAGTTATTCTTCTGACAGCTTTTCCTCTGCACATTGTTGTCGTCCGCAGCCCCATCCTTTCTTTCCATTCCTGCTACCCCACTGCAACAAGGGCTGATGCTTAGTGTGGTAACGGCGGGTGCCAGAGAACTGCTGCAAGCATTTTACACACAGAAGAACCCACCCTGGGAGGCAGGAGCTAATGACCTTATTTCAAAGACGAAGAAACTGAGGTACAGAGAGCTTCACGGTCCCCCAGCTAGGAAGGAGCAGAGCTGGAATTCAAACCAAGGTGGTCTGCCTCTCAAGTCTCTGCCTTTACCCACTAGGCTATCGTCTCCTGGGGCTCAGGCCCACGTGGTCCTAACAGGGACAGCCACACTGGTACCTCACCCATCCACTTGCTCCTGCCTCCACATCCTGAATCCTGTTGCCACATTATTTTCCCTCAAACTCCTGTGTGATTGGGTCTTCCTCCACTCAAGTCTTCAGTGGATCCTCACTCCATGTAGGACAAAGCCCTGGTCCCCAGGTCAGGCTGCAGCCCACCACTCCTGGCTCCTGGGGTGTGCTCCACTTCCATTCCTTCAGCCCCACCTTTGGCCAAGCTCCTGCCACAGAACAGAGCTGGGCTCACACCTTAACCTTGCCTCCTCTTTGCCCAAATTCTTCCAGCCAGGACCTGACGCACATCTTCCGTCATGTTCACAAGGCCGTTTCCTGACCACCGTGGCCTGAAACAGATCCTCTGCTTGTCGGCACTTCGACAACGGCTGACTTCCCTCACCATATGTGGGCTCTTAACACTCAGGATCTCACCTACCCCTCACAGCACCCACAACTCTTGCCGCTCTCACTTTACAGAAGAGGAAACCAAAGCTCAGAGGTCCTGAGGTCACAAAGCAAGAAGGTGGCAGACACTAGGTTACACCCAACTGTATCTGACTCCATGATTACATGCGTCCTTCCCCATCCACTGTTGCCACTAGCTACCACTTAAATCTTGTCTTGTTATATAATTTTCAGAGTGTTTTCTCCTAGTTTTTCCCACCTAAATGATAAACAACTTGAGGACAGAGCCTGAGTCCTAAAAGCTGTATTACCGCCCATGTGTGAGTTTTCAGGTATTGGAAGTGAAAGGGAGTTGCTGTTCCACTGATTTTTGTGTCCTCAGCACCCACCAGAGTCTGGCCAATGAATATTCATTGATGGGGTGAGCTGAATCTGTGGTCCGAGGGGACAGTAGGCTGTGCACCAAAGTATGGCGAGACCTGTGGGTTAGTTAGTCCAGGGTATCTGTCTGTCTGTCCTATGTGTACAAGTAATGCAGAGGCAAGACAGTCAGCTCTCGCTAAGTGGTCGCTGGTGGGAAACTGCCAAGGAAAGCAACTTCTCCCACCTTTGCTGGGGCTTCAAAGGTCGCCCCACACAGGCTTTGCATGCCTGACCCACCCCTGTGTTTCACTTGCTCCCCTCCCTCCAGGAGGTATTATTGCAAGAAAAGTCACCAAGGCTATAGGCCTGGATCAGCAGCTCTGCCAGCTAAGCGAGATCCTCTTATGTCCACCTGACCCCCCATTACTCCCTCTCCTTTGTCCTGGGTTCCCCATACAAAGAAGGGTGCAGCTGGTCTCAATGAAGGTTAACAGGCCTGCCCCTGGAGCTGAGGAAGGAAGAGGCCTCATCTACCCAACACAGCCAGGCCCTCCCACCTTGGAGGCTGCACTGACAGACCCCTCTGCCCAGAGGACTGAGGTTACCTCCAGTGCCATCTCCCCGGGTGAAGTCTCCACCCTGGATCATGAAGTCCTTGATCACACGATGGAATTTGCTGTCTTTGTAGCCAAATCCTTTCTAGAAAAGGGATGAGAAGGTGAGGAAGTGGCATGAAGCACCAGGCAGACATTAAACAGGCCCTGCAGGAACCCAGCCCACAACCAGTCGTGCTCACAGAAGAGACACTGCTGCTGGCCAGAATTATCGTTCAACGTGCTCCGGGCAAGCCACCGCTGTAGGCCAGGCATGGAGTGCACAGCCCCAAGACGGGCTAAGACTGCACGTTCCTCTGCCTTTACACAAGTGCCAGACTTTGTACGATTTTACTTCACAGAATGCCTCCACCTTCTCTTTTTTTCATAATCATAAGAAAAGATTCAAGAAAACTGACCAAAAAAAAAGTTACCTGCTGACCTAATAAAAAGTTGGAATACAAACTTTTTAAAATGGGGCACCCTTGTTTTCTTAAAACCTGGGAAGCTCTGGGCCCTTACTCTTAAGAGAAAGCTTTGGCACAGAAGCCAAAAACTAATTTCCACAGATATATTTTCTTTGGTTATCACAATGTCTTAAAAGATGAAAAGTTTTCTCCAAAAAAAAAAAAAAAAAATCCAGATTTCTGGATTCAGTTTAAAAAACTTAGAAGATAAGATAATACTTGGTTCCCAGTGCCACAGGGCAACAGTTAGCTGGTACCCAGTGAGGGCTACTGCTATAGATGGACTGCGCTCTGCTCTTCGGTTTGCTGCCAGCCCGACTGGTTCTTCGCTTCATCTGAGTTTGCCTACCTCTGCTGCAGCCACTTACCTCTCCTGTAGCTAAGGCCACAAAATTATCCACTGTTTTTGGAACAGTCTTTCCAAAGAGACCGATGACCACCCGGCCTATATCTTCATCTCCAATTCGCAGGTCAAAGTACACCTGAGGAAAAAGGCCATTTCAAACTTAGCCTCTTTAAAGGGGCCTTGCTAGGCAAGGCAGGGCCCAAGAAGCTACCCTGAGGATGGGAGAGAAAAGAGCCATATTTTAAAAGCAATGTTTCTGAATCTGATTTTGGTGGCGACAAAAATCCTAACGATGAGAATCTAATGAAAGCTCCAGACCCCTTTCCCATATGTTTGTTTGCCACTCTCCTTCAGACTACGGGGTAACAACCTTTGCCCTAAACAAATAATGGGCCCAGATTCTAGAAATTAACATCAAAAAACCATAAGGAGGAAAGCCTAAGCTCACCACGCAAGTTTAAACTTATTGCTGTGCCTCGCAGTTGGAAGTGGCTAAAATTTGACCTAAGTAGAGAAAGCATTCGCAAATCGGCAGACATGATCTCTCCCATTTCCCCAGCACTGCAGGGTATTTGCAACAGACAGCACTGAGGCTGACAGCGCCGGCCCCAGCTGAGCATCCCGGACTCCAGCGCCTGGGTCAGGGCTGAGGTGTCCGGGTCATTCTCTGGTCAGAATGGGGAAAGGCTGCCCAGGCGCCACGAAGCCACAGCAGGGAGACTAGGGAGGGGCTCAGCCCAAGCCAGCCTAGGACCGTAAAGCCTCGGACACCAGTGACCAGCGGCACCGAGGCCGGACCCCAGGGCGGGCCTCGCCAGGCAGGTCTGGAGAGGGGAGGCCAGACCTTGACAGTGACTTTAGGCCCCTTCTTCTTCTCATCGGCCGTGGAGGGTCCTGGCAACAGCAGGAAGAAGACAGAGCCCACGATGAGGGCGGCGGCGAAGAGCACCTTCATGTTCCGCCCTGAGAAACGCAGCATCCACCGGGAGAAGAGAGCGCGGCCCGGCAGCCCAGGCCCGGAAGAGGGTGGGGGCGCAGCGGCGTGGGCACCGGCGCCGCCACCGAGTGCGGCCGGGGGGGACCGGGGCGCCTGCCGGCCTCCTGGCAGGAGGCGGGCTCCATTTCCCCCCTCTGCGTCGGCGCCGAATAGTAGGTCCCCCGCGGGGGCGGGGCCCGGCTCGCCGACTGGGCGGGCGGAGACGCGGGCTCGTGGATGGCTGCCACGTTACTGCGGCGCGATTGGCTCCCCAGCTCGCCGAGGCCCACCCACAGGAAGGGGATCCGCGGAAGGCGGCGCCCCTCACAGAGCAAGGGGGTTGTGCTTCGGCAGGGGCTGCAGACCTCAGCGTGCTGAGCGTGGCCACCCTGCCTTTGTGGGAGTGGGAGTCTTGGCAGGTGGTGGCTGATACTTTATGTGCCGAAGTCCGTGGATATGGGCAGAAGATGCTTGTCGTTGTCTGCACTGGGCCAGTCAACCATTACTCACCACCAAATTGGACTTAAATGTGGTAGCTTCCAAAAACTCAGGGCACATTTATGCCTACCCAGAGTATGACCTTATACAGCTTCTACTTGTCGTGCAAAACTTGCTTCAAAACCCACTTCCTTTTGGACTTAGTCTCAGTCACTTTACTACCCATTTTCCTCTCCCTTCTCTAATCTTACTGTGCTTACTGCTGTGAGTCAATGCACTCTTTGTTGTACATCCTGGTTAACTTCCTTTCTTTACTTATTTTCCCAGTAATACATTTTTTGTGAGCAACGACTGTGTTGCTCTTATTTGTATACAGCTCCCCAACACTGCTGCAGAGCTAAGTGCTCAACAAAAGCTGGTTGGATAACGTCACGTTAGCACTGAAGTGGGAAATAATATATACCACAGCCTGAGGTTTAGTCCCCCTTTTCCAGAAACCTTCGGGTTGGCCAGGGATGCCCTCACAGCACAATTTCAGGTTTTCACACACATTTGGTGTTATTCCAAACAGTTTACAAAATATGTATTTCAATACTGGGAGTCTTACATAACCAGAAAAATTAAAATTACACTCACACATTTTCTTACTCAAACTTGGACCTATGATGTTATTAAAGGTCTTTAAAACTTATTTTCAAAGGTTAACGTGATTGAAATTCCTGGTCTTCACAAACTAGATTGTAGGTAAGCATGGCTCCGTCTGCATAGCCAAACTCTGCAATTTGATCTCTACGTGAGGTGCTGACCTGAGTCTGAGGTTATGCATGGCCACTGGCATTAACTTGTCCTTCCTTACGTTGAGGCCACTGAAGGCAAGCTGCAAAGCTTCGACATATCAACACAAAGGACATTGCTCTACATTTGCCCTTTCTAATCCTCACATCTCAATCTAGACCACCTCAGTCAGGTGGAGGTTCTTCTAGGTAAAACTGCTGCACTGACAAAGACGATCTTCCAAACACTTCCTCCTTCATTATTATTATTATTATTATTATTTTGAGGAAGATTAGTCCTGAGCTAACTGCTGCCAATCCTCCTCTTTTCGCTGAGGAAGACTGGCCCTGAGCTAACATCCACGCCCATCTTCCTCTACTTTATATGTGGGATGCCTGCCACAGCATGGCTTGCCAAGCAGTGCCACGTCCGCATCCAGGATCCGAACCGGCGAATCCCGGACCGCCAAAGCGGAATGTGTGAACTTAACCGCTGGGCCACCGGGCCGGCCCCAGGAATATTTATTTTTAAAGTGATCCACAGGGGTCAGCCCCGTGGCCGAGTGGTTAAGTTCGGCGGCCCAGGGTTTTGCCGGTTCGGATCCTGGGCGCGGACACAGCACTGCTCATCAAGCCATGCTGAGACGGCATCCTACATGCCACAACCAGAAGGACCCATAACTAAAAGTATGCAACTATGTACCAGGGGGCTTTAGGGAGAAAAAGGAAAAATAAAATCTTTACAGCAAGCCACAGAAGAGGGCAATGTTCCATCCAAAGGAAAGCAGCAAGAATGCCAAAGTATCAGGTATTGTTTTCAACCACTGGAGCCTTGAATCCTAACAAAGTGAGTTTTAGCTGAATTCTTAGCTAAAAATGAGCCAGGAGAGATTAAAACCAGACAAACCAAACAACCAAAATTAGCCAAGAAAGGTAAGACATTTTATTTTACATACAAAAAGGGTGCAAACTGAGTCCTTTCCTCCCCAAACTGGGGAAGAGGTATACTTAAAGTCACATTTGTGTTTTCCATGGTGCCCTAGGAAACGGGCTACTCTGAGATAACATATCAAGACCCATTTCCCGTTTTCTCCAAAGAAGGCTACTTCCTCTGCAGAAGAGTTTTTCTTAATGGTGTACAAATCTGTCTCCTGGAGGAATCATTTCAAATACACTTGAAATTGACATTCATGTTTAAAAATACTACAAGTTTCATTTTCACAGCTGAGCTTTATGACCAGTGCCAGGGTTTATGAAACATTATATATCTAAAACAAAAGGTAAAAAAAAGGAAAAGAAAAAAGGCATTTAACAATAATCAGACACATCCACACATTAAAAATAATTCCACAGCTGATTTATACATTATCTAGTCTTTAAAAATTGCAATCAACATCCCAACATCTTTTAAAAAGTACAATGGGCAAAGATTAAAGAAACAGACAAAATAATAACATAATAAATTAGAGCATGTAATACATCCAATGGGAATTGATGAATCAACATTATTTTCCATTCGGGGAGCTATAATATTTTTGGTTTTATCTCTATCTTTTCTGTTTACTCTTCTGCTTGATGAATGTGGCTCATTCCCAGAGCCAGTTTCCTGTGACACTAATTAAAGAAGCTCACTTGTTACGTGTTTACTTCCAAGAATATTCAGGAACACATGGTCCCAGCAGCCTGGGCCTTGAGTCTTTATGGAAGTGAAATGAACACAGATGAGCGCGCACACACACACACAGAAGCATATAAATGCAACCACACACACCCATCTGTAAATATATTTCCCCCTAAAGAAATGGCTCATCTTTCCTGAGACATTCCTAACAGATTGACAAGCCTCTTAAGAAAGCTTTTGGTGCGAGGGCTGGCCTGGGATTTGGTCTGGAGCTCAGGAAGAGGAACACTGAAAGCGTCTCACCTGCCTTGAACGGGATTTGTGGGGAAGGGGCAGTCAGGACAGCTGTCCTCTTGTGTTTGCTACTGGGATGGCTGCACTGCACCCCCATTTATCATGGATAATCCTCCGCTCTGAGACTTGGAAGGTGTTGATGGCACTGGAAAAATGATTGTGAGTAAAAGAAAAACAAAAGAAATTCTGTCCACAGAACTGAGGTTTCTTTATAACATCAAGTTTGGTAATCAAACTAGAAATCTATGCAGTGCGCACTCACTTGCTTCTTTGTAAGCTGATCTACACACACATACTGGAGTGGGCTTTCTGGCTGCCTGAGCAAATATGTCAACTACTACTGTCTATATCCAAGGAACCTACTTACTATTTTGAATACAATGAAGAAACCTATCCTTTTGCACTCAGTCACTTGCAAAAAGAGTTACGAAAAATGTTTTTAAGATGGCTTAGCTGTTAAAATTCTTCCAAGATTCCTTATTTGTGACTAAAACACTGCTCAAAACTCTGCAAAAGCTCAGAATGGCCATAGTTTCTTCTTTTTCTTACTCAGAAACAAAATCAACCCCCCACCCCAAAAACCAAGAAAACAAAACCATAGGAATCCCATTTTATTTCCTACCAACCCATCACGGGGAAGACTAGGAGTCACTGGCCATCACCCTCTAGATGGGACTTTCCCGGATCCCTGGAGTCGGTAAAAGGAAGAACCCCAGAGACAAGTGCCTGTTGCTCACATGGCCAATCCAGATGGGGTGCCTAGTTATCCTGGCTCCCTACGAGTTTTTGGAATTCATCTGCTCACCTTGGGGCAACGGTGGGGATGGTGGCAGTGGACTGGCAAAGGCAATGTTGGCTGTATGGCGCTGCAAGCTCCCAATCTGAGAAACTCTAGCCATAATGTGGCTCTGACACTGGAGATGATGTTGTCAGGGCAACTCATTGCGAATGGAAAGCTGGTTAAAATATGAAAATGGAAGTGACTGGGACACAGAAGGCCTGTGGACTTGGGAGAGATGCGTTAGAAGAAAGATCAAATTCCTTTGAGGAGATGCTTTCTTGGCTGCCATGGAAGTACTTATTTTTGAAAAATGCAGGCCATGCTTGCTCACTAGGAAGGGGAACAGGTTATATCCTTTGCATAAAAAAAGTTAAGGCTCTGATCTCTAGTAACCACTATGACATAACACTACCATCACTGCATACTTCTGAAATTGAAAGTGGTTACTACCACTGAGAATCAACACTGAATATGTACTACCCACGTACATTTTCAGTGAACTAAGTTGGAAGTTACTTTAGAGGTGATGGACACTTCTGGCTAATGGCAGGGGCTGCTAGGTACTTGGGAGTTCACTGAGAATAAACAGGCCATCAGCACTTCTACTGGAAACCTCAGGATCCTGCTGTCTCCTATTGTTCTGCATTCCAAAGTAAAATGGAGCTTTAACTAGAAGCCAACCTAGTCACCTGATGTGTACATTCCTAGACAGACCCAAAATAGCAGGGGAACGTTAATTAAGGCAGTCATGAAAGCACACTGGCACTGGCATGCTCCGCCCTCCCTCGCAGAGCAGTCTGGAGTGAGATCACTGGGAAAGGCCAAGGTATGCACAGCAAGTGATCAACCCTTACATGCTTAGACTGCACAGACACAAGTCATGTTCTGGTCACAAGGGAAGGACCTTTAAGCTTTGGCGCATACCTGGCCTGCCTGCCACAGGATGCAATTGCTCAGGATACAATGCCTGAAGGACTGCAGAGCTTTGGAGAACTCCTAATGGTATAACATTAAGGTTTTTTTTTTTTTGAGGAAGATTAGCCCTGAGCTAACATCTGCTGCCAATCCTCCTCTTTTTGCTGAGGAAGACTGGCCCTGAGCTAACATCTGTGCCCATCTTCCTCTACTTTATATGTGGAATGCCTACCACAGCATGGCTTGCCAAGCGGTGCCACGTCTGCACCTGGGATCCGAACCGGCAAACCCCGGGCTGCCTAAGCGGCACGTGCACACTTAACTGCTGCACCACCGAGCCGGCCCCTTAAGGTTTTTTTAATGAACAGATGCTGTTAGCACTTAATGGTAACTCAGAAACAATTGCATCAATCCCAAAGAAAAAGGTCCCTAGGCATCATGGTTGTGAAATGGAGAAAGCTCAAAAACTACAGAGTAAGTGGTTGTGGGTGGGTGGTGGTGAATGGAGCGCCCAACCCCAAGCACCTGGCTGAGGCACAGAACTAAGCGACTCCAGCAACGGGGCTGAGGAGGGAGCCCTGATGTGCTGGTGGGGAGGGAACTGATGGCCAAACTACTCCTGAGGTACTCCTTTTCTTTCTTCTTTTTTAATTTTAAGGATGATTACAAAAGAATCTCGCAGGGGTCTGGACCACCTTGGAGTGCCAATGGCCCTGCAAAGATCACCATTACCCTGCATGCCAGAGGGACCTGGGGCTCATAACCTTTGTTATGAAAATCCTATCTCTCATAAGAGATTTGTGGGGGGCAGAGAAGGATAACAGTGCATTAGGAAGGATCCCCCATAACTGCTCAGGTTCAACCCCTCAAGAGCTAGCCTTTAAAAACAATTTAAGACTGAGGGGCTGGCCCAGTGCATTAGTGGTTAAGTTTGTGCACTCTACTTCAGCAGCCCAGGGTTCGTGGGCCTGGGGATCCTGGGCATGGATCTACAGACCACTCATCAACCATGCTGTGGCAGCGTCCCACATACAAAATAGAAGGAAACTGGCAACAGATGTTAGCTCAGGGCCAATCTTCCTGACCAAAAAACCAAAAACAGAAAAACCAACAAAAAGCAAAAAAACTTAAGACCTGAAAAAAAAAGTCACAAACCCAGCTGCAAAGTGGGCTTGCCCTGTGGCCAAACTGGTCACTGCCTTTCCTATTTTGTGGAAGCAGGAGTGGGGAGGCACTTAGTGGGGTATGGAGTGCCAGGATGCTCCAGCCTTTGCCAGCATTTCCCTTTGCCCTCCTCTTGAGAGGCAAGGCTTTTTCTATATAGGGATTAGGAAGTTAAATTTTCTGTATGGGAAAGTAGAGTTGCCCAAATGCCAACTGAGAAACTATGTAAGGTTCAGTGATGATGCCTTAACCACTAGGTAATATCAAGGAAGCAAATCCCAATATTCAAAATCCTTGTGGGCAAGGGGTGTGACACCATCTCCCAGCCATTCTGTTTTGTATACAGGAAAGTTTCCTTTAAAGAAATGAAAAACTACAATCTTCACATCAGCTAAGCAGGTTTGAAACCAGGGAAGTAGTATTTCCTACCCAAGGCCCAATGGAACAGGCGAAGCCCAGTAACTCTGATCCATGCTACTGATGTTATTTCTGCTCCATGTAAGATACATGAAGGGACTTATTAGGAAATGCCAACGACCAGAAAGTATCCCCGCATCCTCCAGTCCAAAAGACAGCCCTACATCTCAAGCAAGAGGAAATGATTTTTGTGTTCCAAAACCCACCAGACTAAGCCACCAGCCATTGACCTCCATAGTTAGCTCTCTCTACTCCCAGATACAAGACCTTTCTCCTCTATCATATCTGGAATGAGAGGTGACTGGATAAGCCGCTGAACTCACATGAATATTGAACATGAGAAGATTAACTCCATACACTGATGACTTTTCAAGCGTGAATGAGGAACCAAGACCCTTCACAGTAGTATGTCATGTGACTACACCATGGGGGGAGGCGGAGAGTGTACTGGGAAGAACATGCTCTAGATACATGGCCATCGAGTCTGGAAGAAGTCAATATCCAATTGAGAACATAATTTTAGACTTTCATTTCAGTCTCCTTTCTCCTGGAATTTTCCAGCACCAACCAATCTTACCCTCCTGAGTCACTACAGCCCCATGTACTGAGACTCCCAAGTCTGCTGCTATGGACCTGCTGGGAGAAGATCTGCAGGTGCTTGGTTTCTGATAAGGCAGGCCAGCCCAAATGCTTTAACTCAGCAACTGGGGCAGACGGTACACCACATTTCCTGGCCCTGTAATGCCAAATCCTGAGGTTCCTCTGGCAGTTGGAAGGCAGGTTCACTTTCCTCCTCTTTTTGTCCACTAGTGGCAATATGGTGGTGGCTATTTCATCACTAATTTTGTCCCCAAGTCACTAAGGAAGTCACATGACTACCTATTTGGAAGTCCCTGGCAGTGGAGGAAACAAGGATTTCAGATTTTTCTTTTTAAGTATCTCCTTCTCTGGATGAACTCTCTCCTGTTCACAGTCTGGCTTGGCTGGCTCATCCCATGTGCTGGAGAGCTAGGTTGTCCAAACTGCAAGCTGATGAGGTCAAGAGGCTCTGGTAGGGACATTCTTCAGCAGCTGAGAAGATGAATGAAAATTCAAGTATGTTTCCTTGCCAACCTGAGTGTTCACTCAGAATGACACAGAGTTTGGCTTCTTCTCTTCTGGGTGCTGCAGACCCAATTCTTTCCAACTGAGAATGTCCTCTGGACCCATATTCTCACTGAATGGCTTGGCTGGCCCCATCTCCCTCGAAACAGAAAAAAGGGAAAACTCCCAATATAACCAGACACAATATGCATCTGCCATGTTTTTTGTTTAAAAAAAAAAAAAAACTAAAAGTGCAATAAAGTCAGTTTTTTTTCCTTTGCTCAGAACAATTTACATTGTCCTACTACCATCTGGAGAACAGAGTTCGCTTGTCAAGAAAGCTAAGAATGCCAACACATGGGGACAGTAGACTGCAGATTTCTCACAGCTTGTGTCCTACAGTGTAACTTCACGGGAGGGAGGGAGGGAGGGAGGGAGAACCTGCACCCCGTGGCCAGTGGGGGATGGAGGCTGCACAGGCACAGAGGACGAAGGAAGCACACTGCACACACCCGGCAGGTGGAGAAGGTTCTTCTCCAGTCCAGGTCCACCATCTTCCTCCTACCTTCTTGACCCACCCCCAGCCTCTTGAGCTCCTTCAGCAGACAAAGCCTTCAACTCACTAGCTTTTATGCTGGAAGGGGTTGAGGGCAGGGCAAGAAGCAGGAGTAAACTAAGGGGAGGGAAGAGAATAGGAGTCCTTGAGTTTTTGTGAATGACACCTTCACTGTAAACAATAGGAAGGAGAGTCAACCAGGCAGCCCCGAGGGCAAGCAGTGCGGGAGCAGCAGCTCTGGGACCTGCTCAGAGCCTTAGGCAGGTGGGGACAGCCACTGACCCACTGGGCCTTGGCTACCCCGCACTGGCTCCTTCTGGGGGCATCTGTTTTCTTTTTGGTTTGGATCTCCACCCTCCCCCACAGAGGAGTCCCTTCCAGCGAGAAATGGCAGGAGCTGCAGGTGCAATCAAGTCAGAGTCCCCAGGGCATGAGGACTGCTGGGAGGCACTGGTCACTTGTGGCGCTGAGCAGTCTTCTTCCTTTTTCTCTTAAAGAAACAGCAGCACCTGGAGCACAAGGAACATTGCAAGTCAGTGCGGGAGGCCTGTAGCTTCCAACAGACTTCTGCCTGCTTCTGCTTACTCCAGGGGGTAGAATTTTCCCCCTGGCACCCTCCCACAGGGCCACCCACCATCTACAGTGCACATACTGGAGGTAGTGGCTGTGTCCGCTATGAAGCCAAAGGAAACAGCTACTTCATTTCAATCCACAGCTATCAAACCTAATTATCAAAATGTTGCAGGCTAGGCAGGGCAAAAATATGCATTTTTGGAAGGACTATGAAGAAGGTGTACTTCCTAATCTAACAGCCAACCCAAATGCTTCACCTTTATCTAGAAACAAGGCTAGGGGTCCTCAGGGCTGCATAAGAATAACCTGAATTGTCTGCCCCTTGATACAGAGGGTAAAATTATTTAATGCAACTTCAGTCATCAGTGGGTAGGGAGGCTACAGTAAGGAAAACAAACCCCATGAAAAGTATATTTGGAACTCTAGGAGGATCTCAAGATGCTACTAATGAAGGATTAAGGATTCTATCCCCCATCCCCGCCTCCACCCAGCCCCCTGGAATAGGCAGGAGAAGCCCTGACTGTAATAAGAACTGTGAGCCCAGATCCCTGACTCAAATCAGCACGGCCCACTCTTCATTCAGAGAGAATCACTGCCCCAGCCAAGGAGCTGATCACCAGGAAGCATCTGGTTGCAGGGTCTTCCTCAACTCAGCTTCCTGAGACTGGTGCTGCTGTGCCAGACTGGGTTAAAGGACTGACTGTGTTTTGGGTGGCGGTTGGGGCCTGCTTCCTTCATAAGCTCTCCAACGGCTGCCTCCTGGGCAACAGCCACAGTTTTGGCACATGCTTAGGTCTGAGTATCCCCTCATTACTCCTGTCTTTGGAATAGGAAACACCTCTTGCTCAGGTAGTGACTAGTCCAGCAGGGGTGATGAGGGCTGTGGCATGGCTGGTGCAAAAGGTATCTCCTCTCCAGAAGCTGACACATAGGAAATGAGAAGGAAAGGGGCAGAAGGTGGTGGATGAGTCCAAGATGCCAGATGATGGAGGGGAGTAAAGTTGGAATTATACTCAGACTTCCTGGGCCCTTGAAAGAAAAGCTTATCTGAGAAAACTATCCTTGGGTCTCTTGCCTAATCCTTCTGGGTTTAATGCCAGGAATATTCATACGGAAATAAAGAACTGTTGCATACTTCTCATACCCCTAAGTTCTCCACTGTAGCTAGAATTCCCTCCTAAAAGTCAGACCCCTTGGTATTCCTACACCCAATGGACTAATTATTAAAAATTAGGAGAAAATTTCTTAGAATGCAGAAATAGACATTTACACAGACAATGATGGGCGTTAATCATATGTGAATGAATCAAACATGGGGATTTTGGAAACAAAAGCTTCTTAAGAGGGTCTTAAAAAAGATTTCCTAAGAGTATCATAGACATTTGTGAAATCCTATTAATGGGTAGGAATACAGTCACTAAACAAAGTGTCATGTGTATCTGGAGAGACTGAATGAATTCTTTTAAATAAAAATGACCAAAGCTTTTATTGTTTAAAACAGTTCTCAATGGAATCACTGGGGAAGGAGTCAAGGAAAAAAAAAGATCTTTTTCTGTACAGATGCTTTAGAAAACAGGCATTTTCCAAGTTGAATATCCTGAAATTAATATTAAACAAGGCAAACTAAATTTCGCGGGAGCAACGATATTTCAATAGAGTTACCGGATCCCTGTTAACCATGATTTTCAGAGGGATCACTAACATTTAAGCCAATTTCTATTCTTATTCTTTCCGGAGGATGCTAAGATGATGATTTTTATTTTTAAGTAGGGGCAATCATAAAAAAGTTTGAAACACCGTTTTGGTCCATTTCAAATGATACAACTTCTCTTTTACCTCCTCCAAGGCAAGTCCTAAGAGTTAATGTCTGCTTACAAGCATGTCATAACCTGATGTGCAATGCTGAATTCACCTAACTGGACATTGTGCGAGCTGTGGTTCAGAGCTCTTGATTAAGTTTTGCTAATTACTGTAGCTTAAACTTCAGCAGTAGCAGAAATTTTAAATAATTCTACCCACAAGAAAATAGGCCCCATAATCTGCTCTTCAACTCTTTGGTTTCTTGGTGACTACCAGCAAGAGGACCTGCTAAACTTGGTCAGACCCCAGACCAAACCCACTAAGTGACTCCATATAAATTATTCTCAGAAGAGAATAAAGACAAGTGATGAACCCTTCTTGTATCATGGGTTTCCTTCCAGTTGATTCTTTAATTGATGACCAAAAGTTTTTAACATGCTGGAGTCAGAATTGATCCAGTCGCCCTACTCACAAGCCAAGTGCTCTTCCCTCAGGCCTCTGAACCATTACCTCTTTCAGACTGTGTTCTTACTATGTCCTGGCTCTCTCCCTTCAGATATTCCTTTGCTATGCTTCTCTTCTTTGCTGTACTTGTACATTCTTCCCTGGTGCTAAACCTGGCTCAGGACCCACAATATCCATGAAGTCTTCCGTGACCACCCCTGTCCACAGTGACCTCTCGAGGGACAATAACCTAAGTGTCCTGGAGTACTACTTGTTCATTCAAGTATGTATGTCTTTTCTCTCCAACTAGATGGTATCTAAGCTCTTTGGGGCAGGCCCTGGGACCCTCTAAAGTTTCAAGCACAGAGCTGGATGAACACACAGTAGGCCCTGTATTTGCAGTCAGGATCATGTGACCGATGTCTCACAGGAAAAATCAGACCACAACAATGTCAGACTACACAGACACGTGTTTGCTAAATAAATAAGCCAAATGTACTCCTTGATATTGTAAGACTACAAATTCTATTTCCATAAAACCCAATTGTTATATTCAATACATTCCTATCCCTGGGGAAGCCCTGCAGGCAACTTGGCTCAGACAGGGTTCAGAAACAGATGCCCAAGTCAGTCACTGAAGACAAATAGAAACAAGGTAGTCACAGAATCTAGCAGGCTGTTATCACCATGTGACCCCATACATGCAGACAATGTGGGAGAGTTAAAATTCCATACTGCAATAGACCAACTAGCTTAGGAGCACCTGGAAGGTCAGAGGCAATGTCTGGGAAGAGAGCTGGGGAGGGGGCTCTGTCTTACAGCAAGAATGCGCCTTGTCAAACATGGATTCTTAATGGTTTCCCCTTCTATATACCTCATGTTGTTCCCAAGAATGCATTTAAGGAACCTTTCCAGGAGTGGAAAAGAGAGGCTCCAATATCTCATTGGTCAAGTCAGCCCTTCCGCACTATATTCTCTTATGGGGGGGGGGGGGGGGAGACAATAAAAAACACACACACAAAAAAACCCCAAATGACACCAACAAAATGTCCATCTCTCCCTCAAGGAGGAGCTCTCTTTTTTTGAGAGACTCATATCCTACAGATGAAGAACCAGCTGAATCAAAAAGAAAAGTCACAGATTTTTCCAAAGCAGGTTAGAGAACAAGCTGCAGAATGTGAGATTATCTGGCAACAAGTGTTCTTGGGGTTGTGGAGTAATCTAAACAACTGATATAGTAACCTTGTCCTCCTATCTCTGTCCCTCTCTGTCTGATAATATCTGATCGTATTAATTTGGGAAAAAATTCACTCAGCCAAAAATAAAGGGATAATTTTGGATGCTGTGGGATATTGTTTTGACAGGAGGAGTCAGCGATGAGGTGGGTTTGAAAGGAAAGAAGGAACAGATTAATTCTTGGGTACACGTCTGCCCCATCCCCACCTTGTGGATCTAGTTCCCCAGTCTGGGTGGTTATGTCACAAGGTGGCATATGGAAGCCATTCAGTGTTCCTAAGGCATTTTGTTTGGCTTTGCCAATCCCGGCCTAGTCTGGTCCGCTCCCCTAGCACGTGGACTGGAGAGAGGGACTCACCACAGGTTGAGCATTTTCAGGCAGCTACAGAGTGTGTAAAGAGAAAACACAGAAAGGAAGAGAGAAAGAGAGAGAGATTAGTTCACAGAGGTGAGATGGAAGCGACTCCCTGTGAGCCATGCAAACATGCAGAATGTGTCTGTGTTTAGTTTCTTCCTCTGTCAAGGTAGGGTGAGTAGGCCCAGGCCACTTGGTCCCCACACTAAAGTGAAGGTTGGGGGCAGGTGCCTGATAGACATCAAGGTGGGAGCTGGATCTCAGTGAGGGGTAAGGTAAAACAGAAAGAGTTGGTGGGAGCCCCAGGGTGGGCTTTCCTGGGCAATTTCCAGGAAGGAAGCAGGAGAAAGAGCAATGATCCTGCCTATAAGAATTCTCTTAAGCATCAAGGCCAAGCCATTTTGGTTCCCACATGAAATCTTACTGTGCAATTTGTTAAGCTAAGCTCCCAGCTATCCTGAGGGAAAGAGAAGTCCCTAGCGTGTCTGTAAGTCCAACGTGCCTGACTAAAGCAGCCAGCAGTTAGCTCTTCCTCTAGAGGGGGAAAAAAGGCTTAAGAGACACTGTACCTTATTAGGAGATGACTCAGAGGAAGAGGGTCACTGTTCTGGATTAAGGTATAATTGCCAGAGAAGGGCCTGAATCCCATATTCTTGTTAGTTTTCAGGGGAAATGAGGTCCACATTTGCTAAGTTATAGCTAAAGTCAGTGGATAACCAAAAATTCCTGTGTTCTTACCATAACAAAAATCAACTAAAAAGCTGCCTTGCCACACTACCCTTCCAATCATACTTAAATAAGGACTGTGTCCTGTAGCTAGAGAAAAAGGGAAGTTAAATGTTCATTTTGTATCTAGAATGAAAACCAAGACCCTGTTATTTCTCTCCTCTTTTACACAAAACAAGCTGAGTGGGAACCCCAAATCAAAAGCTTGTAAGTGAAGGTGTCATACAGTCTCCCCAGTCCTGAGGTGAATCTTAACATAGGCAACAGCCCCTTTTTCCCACAAGCAGGCTGCATGGACAAATAGCATCACAGCTGCGTGCAACGAGGGGTTGTTTGGGATGCCTTGTGCTTCTCTAGCTGTGACTTCTTCCCATGAAAATGATCAAGCAGGTGGACACATGGCTTCTCCCCCCTCCCGCCCATACACATAGAAAGCCAAAAAGAAAAACACATGGCTGCGCCCTGACAGTTCCCTGGGCAAGGTGGACTGGTAGCTCATGAAATCACTAGGGAAATCAGAACACAAAATGCCCTAAACTATAAGCTTTTGGATGAAATTTGGTCAAATATAATTGTTCCCTTCTGGTTTCTACATAGTTCAGAAGGCCCCAACCTGGAACTGGTGGCAAAGAGGCACAGTGATCCTTTTTGCTAAATGGGGAGACTTTAAACTCTCTTTACATCCTAGAGTTTAGATTATACCAGGACAGAATATACCAGATTGAAATCTCTTCGCGTGAATGGCCCCCTTTCTCATACACAGGACACAAACACCACAATCACAAACATGATTAGCATTTACCACATACACATTTACCAAGTGAAATGAAACGAATGGGTTCAAAAGATAAATCTGTATAGGGCATATTGTAAAACTAAAGCCCATTTAATCTTGGTATTCAAAATACACTATGAAATCCAGAACTAAACTTCTAGGCTTCAAAGTAATAGCTACAACAGTGACTTGGGAATGCGGCGTGGGTGGGAATGGGTATAGCCATCTTTCAAGCCCAGACAAGATTTGGATCAGACCACAGCAAGTGCAGTGGTTCCCAACCTTGGCTACACATTCGAATCACCTGAGCTTCAAAAATTCTTGATGCTCAAGCCATATCCCAGATGAATTAAACCAGTATCTCTAAGGCCAGGATTCAGGCATTTGTATTTTCTAACATGCCCCGAGTGACTCCAGAGTGCAGCCAAGGTTGAGAACCCAGAGGGCAGGAGTACTACATTGTTTATTTGAGAGAATGCAGTTTTGTCAGGGAAACTGAAAAACTGTGAGTACCATTAAAATCTCCAAAGTCCCTGAGAATAGGGAGCACGCTTCCTTACTAAAAATGGTCTCTTCCTGGCATTAAAAACTCCCTCTGCCCTCGTTATGTACCAGGGCCTTATATAAACCATGAGAGGAGCATCTGAAGCTGCTTAGCAGAGTTAGCAGACTCGACAGGAGAGAGTCCAAGTCATCCCTTCTATCTTTTGTTTTTTATCTACTGAGTATGAATCCTTAAGTCTGGGCTTTCCAAGGAAAGGACCTTTTAAAAGCAAAGTGAGCTCATCACATAGATGGGCAGCAGAGCAGGGGAGTGAGCATGGGGGACAATCATACAAAGTGTATTTGGAAGGAAGGAGAATGCAGGTCTAGATTGGCCTCTCACCACCTTATACCCAGAGGTGTAAGCATGTTCTGGCTTGTATTTAGGCTATTTGGGGACTCAAGAGACCTCTTAGGGCACAATATCCCTAGAAATATGTTGCCTGATTGTGAGAATAAGATACTGCCATAGCCTGCATGTTCTCAAAGGGTTTATAAGAAGGGTCATCCATGTTAGGCTTGGCAGCAGTTAGTGACTTGCAAAGGACTTCTCTCTCCCTACCTCATGTATTCTTGGAGTTTAAATCTGGATCTGAATTTGGGATGGGGCAAAAAGGGAAAGAAGTAACAGAAATGCTGCTTTTGCAGCAGAATTGACAGTAATTTCACCTTCCACCCCATATTCTAAGAGTTTAAACACAGACCATGCAGAGAGCACCAAGGGACTGGTGGTATGGGCAGGGCAAGACATTCACATGCAAGAGAAGCAGAAAGGGAGTAAGGAACCTCCTCACTCTCTTGGGATTCCTGTGAATTCCTTTCCTACCCAAGACTCTTTCACTCACAGGTGCAGAGACTATTTTTCTTGCCTGACTCATCTAAATTTCTCTGAATCCAGAATCATTCAAGTGAACAAAAAATGGCCCTAAAATCCTTGCTCCAGGAATATATACTCAGAGTGGCTGGCCAAGAACTAGAAATCTAACGCTATTTGGCATGGCCTAGGGTTTATCTAGATAAGTAGATTTTTCTCTGTGTCCCATAGGGAGCAAGAAGCTCCAGGGCCCCAAGAAGCTCCTGATTACCATGTGCTGTAGCTCTTATATCACGACTCTTTTAGTTCACTATACCTTTTGCTCCATGTGGACTAGAAAAATGTGATTGTCCTCCCAGAAATCACAGCTAAAGAAAGGCAGCAGCAGCCTTAAGGCACCATGCAAAAAATAAAATGGTCAAAGTAAGAAAGCTGTGGACACAAGCATGAGGAATCCAGTCTGAGATGAACAGCACACAGAAGAGACAGAGAAAATATTTTTCAACCTATGACTCAAGAGCCCCCTTGAAAGATGAACGTACTTAGCTTCCTCCACTACCTCCACCTCGGCATGAGCTGTGATTGGTGCATTGGAGTGCGCTCCTGTGGGGTCATCGACATTCAGCTCTCCATTGGTTGAGCTAACCACCTGAAACAGAAAGACAGAGTGTGACAGACACCATGGCAGTAGGAGCCTCCTGCCAGCGCCAGACAGGGTCTCTAAGGGAGATCCGGTCTCTAGCTTAGGTTCTAGATAGGCAGTGTCTAGAATGTTTGTTTTCCTGGGTTGAAGGGCCAATTGTCCTAATTTAGGGAAGGTTCCCAGACTCATATCATGGGAAAACACAAAATTCAGTGATGTAATCATAGACTGATGATAAAAACTTCCACACTGAACGCCTGCTCTGTGTCAGGCACTCTGCTACGTTGTGTGTGTGTGTGTGTAAATTTAATCCTCACAAAAATCTTATGAAATAGGACATATTACTCTCTATAATTCTACTCCTCTCAGTTTGTTATGCCATAATTATATATAGACTCAGTGACGATGTTAAAAAAATCCTAAAAAGGAAATAAATACTGGGTATCAGAAACTATAAGCAATCACTTTCCTTCAGAAATTTCTTCATGGCTTTGACCATTGATTTGAAGTTACTCAAATAACAAGACTGCCACATCCTCTCTGGTAAGAGTGCAGACGGTAAGGAAACACTTTCCCTTGGAAGACCAGTCTTATTTCAACAATCTTTATTTCAGGTTCAGTGTCATCCCATTTCTCACTGATGGTCCCCGAACTGTAACTGAAGGCTCTCACTCCTGTCATCTGGTTAATGTGGACCCGATCAGGCTTCTCTTGCTTGTGCAGCTGCTTCTGCCACCTGGTTTCATTTCCAGCACACGATTCCTGTTTATGTGGGTGCTGGGGAGTGGGAAAAGGGACCCCGCTGGACAAACCACTCTGCTGTTAAAGACCTTGGCTGAAACACGGGAGAGAACCACAAAATAGGATAAATGGTTCAGATATCATATGCTCTTGGGTAAGTAACTTCATTTATTTGAGACTCTTTCTTACAGGATGATGTGAGAATTACACAAAAAAATGTATGAAACAGTGTCTAGTATAATACACGGAACATAATAATGGAGGCAGCAGAGAACAGTAAATAAGAAGTGGGATCTAGGCTTAGTCACCCATGTTTGAACCCTAGCTCCATCACTTACTTGCTGTGGGTCCTTGGGCAAGACCTCAACCTTTCTATGCCTGAACTTCCTAACCTGTAAAATGGGGAAACAATGCTGCTTACCTAAGTGGGTTACTGTGCAGAAAATCCACAAAAAGTACTTTAGCCTAATGCTATGGTACGTGGTAATGGCTGAATAAATGTTCAGATTACTGTTATTCTCCCACCAAAAATCTTTATTGTTATCTCCCTCTAGATCTGGGGTCCTCATCAGCAGTTAATTCACAAAAATATCCTGCATAGTCATAAAGAGGAAGGTGGGAGGAAATATTAATATAAGGAGTCTTTGGGGATATTTATTCAAAGAGAAAAGGGCAGACAAGGTGAATACTGCTTACTAGTAGTGTATGCCAACCATTATTTCTAAACCAGAAATATTTATTGTTCTTATTAATAATACATTCTTCAACAAAAATTTAAACAATGATGTACAGTTAGTCAAAGAAAACTATGTTAAATTTGGACTTACCCAAGAGAGACCCAAATTTCTGCTAGTGATCAAATTTAGCATCTCTTGATTAATGGAACCACCTGACCTTATTTATCTCCAGACATAATATAATAACTACTATATAACATTATCTATGTAGTATTCTTGCCCCCATCCCCCAAAAAAGTTTTATCTGAATCTAAGTAATTACAGAAAAAAATAGACAAATCCAAATTCTGGGACATTCTATAGGACAATAAGCCTGGACTCTTCAAAAAAGGCATATTTAAAAAAATTTTTTTTTCTTTTAAAACAGGGGTGACTGTTATAGATTAAAAGTTTAAGAGATTGAAAGAGACTGAAGAGGCATAACAATTAAATGCAATGTGTGAACCTTGATTAGATCCTGAACACTATAAAATTAATTTTGGGGACAATGGGGGAAATGTGATATGTACAGTACATTAGATATTAAAGAATTATTATTAATTTTCTTAGATATGACAATAGTGTTGCTCGTTACATGAGAGAATGTCTTTGTTCTTAGGAGATGCAGGCTGAAATATTTTGGGATAAAGTGTAATGATGACTGCAACTTACTTTCAAATAGTTTAGCAACCCTCCTCCCCCCCAACCAAACTCAAACACAGAGTTAAAGCAAATACAACAAAATCTTAATAATTCCTTAATTTAGGTTAAGGATATATACAGGTTCATTGCAAACCTCCCTCCCCGACTTTTCTGTAGATTCGAAAATTTCAAAATAAAAAGTTGAGGAAAAAACCAGCAAAAATAAAAAGTAGAGGAGAAGGGCTGGCCCCGTGACCGAGTGGTTAAGTTCGCATGCTCCACTTCGGTGGCCCAGGGTTTTGCCAGTTCAGATCCTGGGCATGGACACAGCACCGCTCATCAGGCCACGCTGAGGTGGCGTCCCACATGCCACAACTAGAAGGACCTACAACTAAAATATATAACTATGTACTGGGGGATTTGGGGAGAAAAAGAAGGAAAAAAGAAAAAAGATTGGCAACAGTCGTTAGCTCAGGTGCCAAGCTTTAAAAAAAAAAAAAAAGTTGAGAAAAAAACAGCAAAAGTAAAAAGTGGAGGAGAGAGGGTTTACAGATTGGAGAACCACAGCTCCTCACACTAATGCTGTCTTGTTGCTTTCCTCAGCCTACATTTGCTTCTTGTGGGCGTATTCTGGCTTCACACTAGTGATAATGCCAGTAAGTTCATTCTGTGGGCTCAAGGGTTAAAAGAAAAATCATAGTAAGTTTCTTAACATGAACAATGTAGGAACTAGACAAGATGGTAAACAAAATGCCTTGGCCTCTACTGACACAAACAAAGCAGGAGTAAGCATCGCTGCTGCGAGTTACCTGGTGACTTCGGGTCACACTCTAATTTCTCCCTGCTATGAATTGCCGCGTGGCCTGCAAGCAATGCCCATAGACAATCTAAGGAAGAAGAGGTTATCCCCATTTTACAGACCAGACATCTCGTCTGTATCAATGCGTATCTAGTTTCAAACGAATCAGGCACAAATGGAAACCTTAAACTCAACTGCATGTAATATATTTGGGAATCAATGGCTACTAACCTGGCCCTTCAGAGCATCCACTTAATTATTTCAGGTTGGAGGCACAGTTTGTCAAACCACTGAACTGCAGCTTCGATGTGCAGTGGAGCAAACACTAGTGTAGGGGACTGACGAGCCGGATTCCAGATCTGCCTCTACCATCAACATCCTCTGTGAGCTCCAATTTCTAACTCTGTAAGACTAGGCTACATAAGACTAGACCAATGACCTTGGTGCTATCTACCTCATAGTTACATACGATGATGTCTAGGAAAGAAATGTGAAAAACTGTAAAGAAACTCTATGAATGTAATGAATTATTAGTATTTTAAACAATATCATTTTTGTACTTTTTCTATGAAATTTTTAAGTAAAACATCACTAACAAATAAGCTATTTGTGTACCTGAAATACTGACATTTATTTTGCTGTAATCACTATTAAAACTAATCCTACATTCCTCTGACTATATTACACAGAACCAAAGTAATTAATATTTTATTTTATTTTATTTACTTATTTATTTATTTTTTTGAGGAAGATTAAGCCCTGAGCTAACTACTGCCAGTCCTCCTCTTTTTGCTGAGGAAGCCTGGCCCTGAGCTAACATCTGTGCCCATCTTCCTCTACTTTATATGTGGGACACCTGCCACAGCATGGCTTGCCAAGCGGTGCCATGTCCGCACCCAGGATCCGAACCAGCGAACCCTGGGCCACCAAGAAGCGGAACGTGCACACTTAACCAGTGCACTACCGGGCCAGCCCCAGTAATTAATATTTTATATGAATAGCCATGAAAGAGACTAAGGTGAAGCATTATTCTGAACTTACTCCTTAATACTGGTAACATCCCTTTTAAGAATCTCAAAAATTTGAGTTCATTAGTCCCATTTTCAAAATGTTACTGTGAAGAAAAATCAGAGCTGTGTACCAAAGGAAGCAGTACTTGAGCTGATAATCAACATTTCAATCCTACTTTTCACAACTAATATATTTGGTAATTCTCTACTTTAGCTTCCCTATCTATAAAATGGGTATAATACTGACCTCAACAAGAGTTGTAAATAATTAAAAATTATAAAGATTTGAGGAAAGCAAATATTAGCTAAAAGTTAAAAGTCGTTCTTAAGTCTTATGCTCTTGCCTGGAGATTTCTAGATATTTCCTATACGTTTTAATTTGAACAACTTTAGAGTCATCTTTTTGAAAGAGAAAAACATACTGTCTTCTTGAATTTAGGCCTTCCACGTATGGAAGATCTGTGGAAATACTGGAAGGATGGGAACCAAAGGGGGTCTTGCCCATTAAAAAGGCTGGAATGGGAGTGTCCATGCGGCTTATCAGAGCAAACTCTATCAGGTCATTTCGGCATTCTGCACGCCACTCTTCCAGGCTAGGCCAAGCATACTTTGACCGCATTCTCTTTGGGAAGTGAGACAACTCAGGAATATGTGGGCATCTGTTGTGCTACAAAGGAACTGCTAATTTGGTTTGCAAAAAGCATAGCCTTTATGAGTTTACAAAAATTGGTGCTAAAATCAACGAGGAAGATGTAGTGAGAAGCAGCAGAGCTTAATATGGTATTAGGGAAACGGCACAATTGCCTATTCTCTATCCAAGTGTCAAGGAAGCTGGCAGAACTTAGTTTAGAGAGAGTAAAGGGAGGCTGCATTTTTCTTTCTTTTTTAAATATTGGCCCTGAGCTAACATCTTCCACCAATCTTCCTCTTTTTTTGTTCTTCTCCCCAAAGCCCCCAAGTACATAGTTGTATACTCTAGTTGTTGGTCCTTCTAGTTTAACTATGTGGGATGCCACCTCAGCATGGCTTGATGAGTTGTGCTGGGTCTGCGCCCAGGATCTGAACCGGTGAAACCCTGGGCCGCCCAAGCAGAGTGCTCAAACTTAACCACTCGGCCACAGAGCTGGCCCCTGGGAGGCTGCATTTTTCAAAAGTGCTGCCAGAAACTCTAAGTGACTCCAATTCTAATCTAAAGACAACCTCTCACAGTGGACAATAGGAAACACTGTCCAAATGAGCACCCATGTTCCAGGAACACAAATCTAGTAACCTAAACTGTTCAGAAACACTTGACTATGTGGTGTTTCCTTTTTAAAACTGTCTTTGTTTTTTTCTCTAATTACAAGGTAAGCATGTTTATTGTAAGAAATAAAATTAGAACATTAAAAAAGATAACATAAAAAGTGCAAGCTTCCAGTGACATCATCACAGGGAAGTAAGTAGCTAGTGGGAAATTTGGTGTATATTCCTTGACAATAAGTATACGCAAAGTATTTACGTACAAGGACAAACAGTAACTATTTTAGGTTTTGTGAGCTAGAGAGTCTGTGCTGAAACTATTCATGTAATATGTAAACAAATGAGTGTGGTTGTATTTCAATAAAACTTTATTTACAAAAACAGGCAGAAAGTGGGATTTGGCCCATTGGTTGTATTTGCCCAACCCTACTCTACACTGTTTCTTTTTTTCCCCTGCATACACTAACGAGTGTGTGTGTGTGTATTCTCCTTTATATATATTTTTTCATACATATGTGAAAATAAATAAATCAGGGCCAATTTTACTCATTGTTTTACCACTTACTTTTTCCACAATACATCTTGGACATTTTCCATACTGCCCAGAGATTTCTCTCTCCCCACCATATGGAAGTATTGTATTTGTTTAGTTAATGCTGAACAGATGAACATTTAGTTGGCTCTCATTTTTGGGGATTAGAAACCAGCCAGCAATAAACATTCTAGAACTGCAGTGTCTAATACAGTAGCTGCTAGCCACATGTGGCTACTGAGCCTTACAATGTGGCTAGTCCAAATTGAAATGTTCTGTAAGTGTGACACACACACTAGATTTCAAAGACTTAGTAAAAAATAAATAAATAAATAAGGTAAAATACTCAATATTTTTAATATTGATTTTGTGTTGAACTATTTTAGATATACTGAGTTAAATATATTATCAAAGTTAGTTTTACCCGTTTTTTTACTTCTTTAACGTGATTACTACAAAATTTAAAATTACAAATGTGACATATATCTTTTAACAGCATTGTTCTAGAACATATATCTTTAGTATCTGTGCATTATCTGAAACTGGATTCACTGGATCAAAAAGCATAGATATTTAGGATTTTAACAGATATTCCCAAATTACCCTCCAAAATAGCTGTAATTCACATTTCAACAATAGTAGATGGATAGGCTATTACTAAACTTACAAAGTTTAGCAAATGTGATAGACAAAAACTGACGTGTACATATTTAGGTTTTATTTTTATCAGAGTTATATAAGCACACTGTGTAAAGAATCAAAATATTTTTACATGGATTGTTAAGGAAAACAGCAGTCTCTCTCCTTTGCTCCACCCTTTCCCCTTCCTTTATAGCTGATTCCTTTGTTTTCTACCTCCCCATCTCGAATAACATGCATCTTGAGTCATCATTTTTGGGCATTATATTCACCTTTTCCATTCTTCTGTTCTTCCATTATAGTTTACACTGTAATTTTGACTAAATCAATTCTTAGTATTTATAGTATGACAATTAAAAGCTACTTACAGCTGTGCCACAAAGTATACCATGGTTATCTTTCCTTCCCTGTAGAATTTCTTGTTTTCCTTGAAATTAATTATCTTTTAAAATGTATCTTTACTTAGCTTTTTATACATTAGTTGCTGATCACTAATTCTAACCAAACTCTCTCATTTTTCTAAACAGCTACTTTCAAGATATTGACATATCAGTATCCTGGTCATTTCATCATTTTACTAAAATTGCTCTCTAAGCCTCCGGACCAGCTCTGTTTGGGACAGGCTAGCCTCTTCTACTGGCGTCCTAGGATCTCCTAACTTTACCATTATTTTGGAGAGTCCCTTTACTTCTCTCCTGTGTTGAATCTCTTATTTCCTTGATTCCATATCTTCCTCTTTCTTGGTTTACTCACTCATTTTCATAGTGGATATCCTCCTGCAGCTTCATAAGAAAGGGTGCATGAGAAGTAAAATTTTTGAGACTATTGATTTTTGAAAATATCTTTATTCTATATTCCAACCAGACTGACAGTTTGGCTGAGTATAGAATTCCAGGTTGGAAAAAATTTTCCCTTAGAATTTTAAAGGCATTGTACATTACCTTCTGATTCCAGTATTGCCATTCAAAAATAGAAGCTACATATACTAATGCCTGACTTTTTCTTTGCATATGACTGTTTTTTCCTTCTGAGAGCTTGAAAGATCTTCTCTTTGTCCTCAGTGTTCTGAAATTTCATAATGATGTACCCTTGTGTGGTTCTGTCATCCATTATGCTGGGTACTCAGTGAGCCCTTCTGATCAGGAAACAAGTCTTTATGAGTTCTGGAAAATTTTGTCAATGATTTCCTCTCCTCCAGTTTCTCTGTCCTCTCTCTGGAAGTCCCATTATTTAGAAATTGGACCTCTTGGACTCTCCTTAAATCTTCTAATTGTTTTCTACTATTTTCTTTTTTTTTTTTTTTTGAGGAAGATTAGCCCTGAGCTAACATCTGCTGCCAATCCTCCTCTTTTTGCTGAGGAAGTCTGGCCCTGAGCTAATATCCATGCCCATCTTCCGCCACTTTCTATGTGGGACACCTACCACAGCATGGCTTGCCAAGCATCTGGGATCCGAACTGGTGAACCCCGGGCTGCCGAAGTGGAACGTGCGAACTTAACCACTGCACCACCAGGCCAGCCCCTATTTTCATCACTCCCTCTCTTTGCTCTATTTTCTGAGAGTCTTCCTCACAAATTCATCTTCCAAACTACTGAGTTTAAAATTTTTGTCTACAATATTATGTTTTTAATTTCCAAGAGCTCTTTTTTGATTTGCTCTTATAATGTTCCTTTTAAAAATAGCATCCTGTCCTTGTTTCACAGTTGCACTATCTTCTGCCTCTGAGGATATTAATAATAAGGGTTTTTTGGTTGCTGTTATTGTTTGCCTTGTTGGTCTCTATCTTACTAAAGGCTTTCCTCAGAAGTCTGATAACCCTTGATTGCTCAGATTTAAGAATGGGAGACTGCAAAGTTAACTGGCACTGTGAGTACAGGAGTGGGACTTTTACTTGTGGATCTACTGCAGAATGATGTGGCTAGGCCAATTCATTAGAAAAACCCTGTTGTCAGTATGCTCAGATGTTGTCTTTGGGCTGGTCAGATTCCCCAGAGCTGACTCAATCTCCTGCCTGGAAGGGACATACCTGGCTATCAGCATTCTGAAGCACTAAATGAGGAAAGCAGGCACTCAGTATGTTCACTTTCATTTAATCTCCCTTTTTTCAGTATAGCACTCTGTCCCCAAACATGCCTCATATCCCCTAACCCAGAGACCCTCTATATTGCCCTCTCCAAAGAATAAATCTTTGGTCTTTGCTGGGGAGAGCGAAAGCACTTTTAGGTATCTCTGGCTTCTTAAACAGACTTTCAACGAATCTTCTTTATTTTAGCACATGCCCTTCCACACTCACAAGCACCCAAGGGCCAATTTCTGAGCCTTTTGGGAATTCCCCAGTGTAAATAGGCTCTCAGCTTTCCCCTCTCTTGGCTCAGGATTCAGTTTTCTTAGGACTCCTAAGTCACTTAATAATTGCCCATCTGCTTTGCAGCTTCTAACATTTTGTTGTTGTTACCTCTTCTGTTTTCTCCATCCTTATATGGATTTACACCTTTAAAAAAAATCCCTTTATCATTCCTTTACAGGTGTTTCAAGATAGGGTGAGAATTCATCTGTATGTTCAAGCCATCATTTTTACCTAGATGTTCTTAAGAGGTTTTTACAGGGCCAAAGCTGTCTTCTAACTTTCAGTGAATAACACCATCTTCAGTGAATCATTCCATGTAAAAGCATATCCTAGACAACCAAGCCTACTAAGATGTATTTCTACGTGCAAAAGGCTTGCCTACTCCATCACAAGAATTTCTATTTGGTAGCTCTGGGTTTCACTTGAGGGCCCAAACTGATGGTGTAACTAACCAGTATGAGAAGAATATTTAGGTTAAGATTAGTAAAACAGTGATATAAGAAAAGTTACACAAGATGTTCTTATGTACTAGAGAGAATAGAGATTCAAAATAGTCCAAATGAAATCAGAAATAATTCTCCAAGACCACACTTATTCCAGGGAGACAAAAGAAACAGCCCAGCTTCTTGAGTACCCACTCAGAAACAGCTGACTTGGACCAATTAACATTCTCATCTTATGCGCTAAGGCATATATCATAATGGAATGAGCTACATATGCAGTCCTCGATCCAAAAAATACTTATTCTAGACGTTTCAGGTCGATACAAATTCACAGACTTGATACTAACAGACTTCTACCTTGACATCATTTTTATGGTTTATCATGAGTGGATCAAGGTTGTAGTAGTAGTTTAACCAGAAATCATTATCAGAAATCATACAGACATTTCTTAAGCAATGACAACAACCAGCAATCATCTCAACAAGTGACTCTTACAAGTCCATGTAGGCAGAAAATCAGCACATAGATATTCAGTTAACTATAGAAGCAGCTCAACCTTGCTAAAGGTTTCCATTCTAAAGGAACTTGAGTTTCAGAAGCAAGCCAACATTCTACTAGCCAAGATGGGAAGGCCAGGAAAAGGCAATAAAGGCAGTAAGTACCTGCACTGATCCCCCATGGCGGTCTGCAGCCAAGTGAGACGTCAGGTACGAGGTATTGGTCTGCCGGCTGGGCTGGATTTCCCATTCTCCTCGGCGCTCTGACGATGCAGTCTGCTCAGGCATTAGGAAGCATGAGAGCAAGATATGGAAGGAAAGGTGAAGCAACAGCAAGCAATAACAAAATCAAGTACATTAGTGTCCCTGAAGGTTTTGTTTTTGTTTTGGATTTTAAACTAACAACTGCTGCAAAGCACTAAGGAAAAAGTTAGCTTGGCTATATTCATTTCAGCCTGATGAGCCAATACACGACAATGTATAGCATACCATCCTCACCCAGACACAAACAATAATCATTAAAGAGGAAAAAAAATCAAAAGCTGGAAATCATCTTTTAGCTTCCATATTAGTAAAATTTCAGTAGCCACTAAGCAGAATGTTAAGATTGTTGGACAAAGGAACAATCATACTTACAAATCATTTTACTGATTAAAGATCCATCTAAATAAACAATAGTCAATACAGAAAACTCCTAGCATTAGGAATCAAGATAATATGCCTTTTCCTTTAATAGGGAGCCCACTAATCTCAACATAAACCTACAGGAGACTTTCAACTAAGACAAAATGAGCAGCAGCAGTGGCTGGAATATGCTTTCTTATCTAAAAGAATAAACAAAGTATCTCTTCAAAGGCAGGTTCACCAGTCAAGATTATGAAAAGATAGGGGGAAAAGTAAGGCTACAATGTTTCCCTGATTCTTCTAGCTAACAGCCTCTAGACTTGAATCAGAAAAAATTTAGATATGACTACTATGAATTATTTTCTTCTGGAAAGCAAAAGGCAGATCTTTTCCCAGCAAAAGGAAGGCTTTCAATTCAAAATCTTTTTGAGTTCCGCTTTTATCTTTGCTATCATTCAGGCTCTCTTCATTCCTTCTTTACCTGTTTTTTAGATCTCACACTATTCTGATCTTGCTCATATGTGATTTTTGTTCTGAAGAATCTGTTTAGATGCCTCTTCCCCTGTGCCAGATGGCTGAGGAGGTGTTAACATCATGATGCTCAGCTGTAACAGTCCTAAGGCTCTACAAAAATGAAAAATGAGGAGTTGGAGAGGCAGCAACGAGGGATTAGTAAATCAAATTTTAATTGCTGCTGATATAAACAGCAGCAGGGGTCGGGATGTGATACTGCTGCTCTACATGAAAACCAGTAAAGATGCTATAAATCTTAGAAATGTTCATCGCTACAAACGTTGTATTCTAGAAAAAAGAAAGAGAGTGAACAAGTAGTGGTTTGAGGCTCCATACTCACTCTCCCCATTCTGTATCTCACTGACAAGAGTTGTTTAAAGCTCATCTATAAGTCACCAAAAAGACTTTCCCCATTAAAGAACAAAAAGGCCTCATACAGGAGCTACAACTTACTCATCTTCTTTATTAATGGAATATGAAGTCACATGGATAACAGCACTATGAAGGATCATGTTTTCTGACAGTCCTCAGGGAATGAGCATATTCTGTAACAAGGCAGCTGTATTAACTTGCTTGCTACATACTCTTACAAAAGAGGGCTTTGGTTTTTTATTGCTAGTCACATTTGAGAGAATCAAAGCTACCCAAAATATCCTCCCCTCCAATTATATCTGTCAACAGAAGCTCAGATGTTTCATTTTCCAAAATAAGACTGTGGTTTATAACATAATCATAACTATTTTATAAACTTATTGACATTATCATATCCTCAGAGCACTTAATCTCATTTACTCTCGCTACTAGAGAATTGAGAATAAATCTGTTCTAATATTATAAGTAATATCTGTAACTAATATCTACTAGTGATAGCTTCTTCAGTTCTCTCTAGGACTTTTTGATTTTTTATAACATTTAAGTAGAATATTTAAGCTCCTAAACTACTATACAAAACTGTCAGTTCTCAAAAAATTTAAATGCTTAAAAAATATCCAGACATTTATAAGCCATTTGGTGGTGTTTTGAGTTCTATGATATATGTGCAATGCAATTACTTCTCTTATGCATGCTCTCTGTTTTGCATTTGTTTTTAAGGCAGATAAATTTGAAAATGGCAAGAAATGTACATATAACATACGCTTTTTTTTTTCCTGTTTTTTCTCCCCCTAGTACACAGTTGTATATTTTTTCAGTTGTGGGTCCTTCTAGTTGTGGCATGTGGGATGCCTGCCGCCTCAATGTGGCCTGATGAGCGGTGCCACGTCCGCGCCCAGGTGCCAAACCAGTGAAAACACTAGGCCGCCAAAGCAGAGTAAGTGAACTTAACTACTTGGCCATGGGGCTGGCTCCACTTATATGGTTTTAAGCTTAACAAAATCCTGGAGAGCTGATCAATGATTATTTCCATTTTTACTAAAATACATATCGGAAGTCTGGTTTGATGCTACTGTCTGATTCACAGGGCTGTGTACTTGTTTATATCCATTCTAGCCAAATAAGTAATTTGTTGAAAGAATTAAAATTTTTGTCTAAATGAAAATAGCAAGCCATTTTTCAAAGGCCTAAAAGTTACACTCCATCTCCATCCTAAAATCAATGTACTTTTTACCTTTTAAAGAGAGAAAAATAATGTTAACATTCCAGATTAGTTCATAAATGCTTCTACTGTGACAAATGAAGAACACACTGTGCCATACTATTGCCCTCTAATGCCTTCTATATTCACTGAAACCAACAAAACCAAGTGACAGACGTGAACCTGGGGTTGTTGGTTTATTACGTTGGGAAATACTTTTCACTGTAATGTTAAACTCTATGGCTATTCTTTTCTGGAATTTAAGGGCTTGGACTGGTATCTAGAAGTTGCTGTAGTAGAAAAGGTCATTTGCCAGTTTCAGAAAGCGACTGAGTGCCTAGGAGCTAGATGAAACCAAGGAATGTCAACAACTACAGTATTCTGCTAGTGTACCTTCCCCTGAAAAGTATTCTAGACAATACTGTGTACACACGGGTTATGATTAGGCATAATCAGCACAGGAGCTAGTTACACTGAGCAAACCAGTAAAAGAGAGAGGCATGTAAGCCCTTCACTCTTTAAAGATCACTCACGCACACATATCTATCTAAAAGGCAATCAGGAACGTCCATGGGCAGAAGAGTCATTCAGCAAAATCAATCTCTATGCATTACTTGAAAGGCAAAGGTCCACATGGAGTGTGTAAATCCCCAAAGGCAGGAGCAGGAATCTCAAGTAGTGGAAATTCCTTGGGGGATCGCTTTAAAATCTTCAGTTGTGATTGCACTACCTGCGTGGAAATGCTTGGTTTACTATCCAGTAGGAGAATGTGGAAACAAGAAAGCAGCAATCCAGCACAGCATAAATCAAAGGCAAAACTAACAAAAAATACTTAAGGGAAAACACAGAAGCCTGGTGTACAAAGTCAAAACTACCACCTGTGCCTATGGCAGGGGAAACAAATCTCTCCCATCAGTCATTTGGCAGGGATGAATGGACAGACAGTAAGGAGAACGACAAGAGGGCAGGAAAACAGTCTGAAAACACCTCAGATGCCACCCATCTATTGGCTTAAAAATTACTTCAAATTCTTATAGGAGATAAAGCTACTGTTCCGAAGCAAAAGGCAGGAAAACATCTTTCTCTTGCTGTACCAAACAAGTCACCAATCCTATTCTTTAAGGTATTTTGAAAAATTAATTTTGATGACATTTACAAAGAACTTTATCCATTTCACTTTACAGCTCCCCAAAGACTTTAAAAGTTGCCATCTATACAGATCTTTTCGGCCTCCCATGTTAGTCTTCTAGGCCTCATTATATAATTATTGTCTTCAACTATAATTAACAAGACTAGAGACTGAATAGTACCAAAACGTTAGCAATGGATACACTAGATTACCAAGACAAAAAAAATTTTTTTTTAATGTAGTAGGGCTAAGATGGAGGAAGAAAGAATGGGGCAGGAAGAACGATAAAGGGAGCATGTTAAAAAAATTGAGGGAGTATATTAGACCTTAGATGTGAAATGAAAAAAAGCTGGCAGAGTTATTGAAATGTATACTTTAACAAAATTAAAAACTTCCATTAAACTCATGAAATAGAACCTATTTTCCTATGCCACACAGGGATTATTCTTGCAACCTTGTCACATGTGCAAACAGTGACTTCCTGTATTCTACAAACTTGATCAAATATCAGGGATGTTTGAAAATCGCTGGTAACAACTTGGAAAAGATTATTCCCAAGTTCAATATTATGTAGGCCCAGAGAGCCAGGAGTATCAATTCTGTGAAGCTCTGAGAAAAATCACAGGACCTATCCAAGAGGTTTGGAACTCTCTCCTCAAACCCTGCCCTATTCTTATTCAAAATGGTATAAGACACCTCCCCTAGGGAAGGATGACTTATTTAAGATAGGGTTACTCTAGAATCACCTTCCTACGAGGAGGTGCTTCATGACACAGGGTATCTGCTGAAATAAAAAATATTGAAGAATGCACACAGACAGAAGAAAACTTTTAATTTGGAATTAAAAGCAGAGGTGAGAGCAGCAATTAGGTGACAAAATGGGAGATGCTAAGAAAAGGACTGTATTTCAGTTTTGCACTTGTTTGTTTCAATGTCCCCCTTGGAGTTAAGGTCCTAGAAATAAGGAGGGAAAGCCCCATTCTGCATTAAGCTCTATGCGGGAGAGTGGCAGGGCCAGTGTGCAATCTTCACACCTGAGCTCCTGCTAGACAGCAGGCAGCAAGTTAGGAAATTACACACAGATCAGAAGGAGGCAAATTATCTCCAAGCAAACTCCTCTGCCCCTTCAACCAGCAAAGTCTGAACCTTGCTGAAAATAAAGCAGTACTCTGTGAAACGAAGGGAATAGAGAATTAATCAGCCCTTTTTTTTTTTTTTAAGGCTACTGGACTTCTAAAAAAAATAATAAAGATTTTATTTTATGAAGATCTCTGACCATCTTGGCTACTTAGCAATCTGGCCTAATTTCTCCTTTGGAAAAGCTAAGCTTATAACAAGCTTCATTCGTAAGCACCACAGCTCTAAGCCACAACATATTTTTCTAAGGCTACATATTCCTTAAATCTAATCCCTTGGAGTTGGAGCCTGGATACAAAC